TTCTAATTGCAAAAAAGTCACTTTTTACATCGTTATATTCGCTATTGTTCTTTATTATTTTGAAAAAAACCTACATGGAGTTTAATGGTAAAATGTTGGGTGCTTTCCATTTAGAGAAAAAATTCGGAAATTTCGGTGGGAACAAAAATGGATTTTCCGATAGGTAAAAAGTTGTTCTGTTTGATCGTAAACCCCGGAACGGTGCCGAGCCCGTTACCCGATGGGACACCAAGATGGCTGCCGAGTTGGTAACAATTGAAAATGGAACGCGAAATTCCGTTCGGAACGTTCCAACCGGGAAAACGGGCCTACCTTTTCAGAGTTTCCACTTTTTCCGGGAATTTTTCAGGGGGGTAAAGCGACGAAACGTTTTCCATTTACTGCCAAACCGAAATTTCCGAAAATTTTGACCAAATGGAAAGCGCCCGTTACCTTGACGTCTTCTTTGGAATTCCTAGTTTGCGTTGAACAATTATTGCGTAAACAGTGCAGATACAAACTGAGTTAGGAGGTGAGTCGTATTGGTGCAGAACCATGTAGTCTCCCATGTTACGCCGTCACATAAGGGCGCTGTCTATTAATTATATATCCGACCCTTAGCTATGCGGACGCCCTTAGTTCGGCGCAAACTACAAGCCTCGCAATGAGGAGGAGTCAGTTATGCGTGAAATACATACAAAAGTTACACAATCGTGCATATTAGTCACCCAAATCACTTTTCACCTCCTAGTGGTAGCGGTCACACTCATGACTACAACCTCAGGACAAAGATCGAACAAAGACGACCAGTAATCAACCAACTTGCATGTAACAACAGGAACATTTGCCGTACGAAGCGTTTTGGCTCATTTATTACCTTCAATCAAGCGTACAGTGTACAAATGCTAAAAGTAGTAGTATACATGTATAGCGTTGTTGAATAGTGTAAATTTTTGAAGCTTGTATTTTATTCCTGTAATTCAGTTTTTTTAACTGCAATGGTGATTAATAAACAGTTTATTATTATTATTATTATTATTAATATTATTATTACCATACAACCCCGATCTGTTTTGGGTTCTTTCGATGTCGTGTTGATGTCTTGCAAAGTTAATTTTCACGTAGTACGATCAGCTTTGCAGAATTCAATGTGTACTCTCTGTCTTTGCCCCCCCCCCCCC